GGGCGGGTAGTCAATTTAACTCAGATTTCTTTATTTAGCTAGAGCAAATTCCAGCCTGTCTTGGTCTTACCCAGATATCAGCCTTGGTGGTGATAGGTTTCCCTCCATAAAGGTTGATCATTTCAGGGGCTCTGTATGACAGAGTCGTATACCTGGCAGTAAATAAGTGAAATGGAGTGGAGATATAAAAAAAGACAGACACTACATTGATTCTACATGAAGTACTACAAAAATTTTTAGGTTCAGTAACATTACATAGAATTAATACTATAAAAAAGTTCACTAAAAGCCTGTCAAGGATTGAACAATACAAGACATCTATATGCATTTTTATTTATTTAATATTAGAAACATTTTAATAATGACAATGTATAGTTTTCCTTGAATTACTTATTTGAAATAATACAATTTAACTATAGTAGTCTCCTTATCAAAATATCTTAGTCTATTAATTTGAAATGAAAATTTCCACCCTCTCAAATACTTCATGTTTAACTAAGGAGTTTGTTTTTATGGACTCTAACATACTTCCTCGCACAGAGTAGTAAATCTTCTTTGGGTTTGGTTTTATAATTGACATTGTTTGAAAAGTAATCTAGTTGCCATAATTCTAACTACACTAACAACAATAGCTAAGTATACTTGTAACACTGACTGCCATCACAAACTATTTGGAACTAAAAGACACCATGAATAAATTTTATAAATACAAAAATCTAATTTGAACACAACATTTTAATGAAGTAGTATTCAAATTTCATGGCAAAAATTATCAGAATAATATGGATGTACTTCCTATATCATTGCATAATTTCAGATTCATTTTGAGTGTTTATACACATTTTTCTTAAAGAAGTATCTAAACATTCTACCATCCTGTACTTTCCAAATGAGCCTGACTAGTGAGACATTCTCAATGATTCTATTGCTGAGGAATGATCTAAGAAGCCAGGATATAAGTGGCACGAGGGCAGGACTTGTTTTCTTCAATGCTATACCCACAGCACCAAGATCAGTGCCTGCTACATTATTTAAAAAAAAACAAAACGGTTGCCATCAAGTCAATTCCTACTTATAGCGACCCTACAGGACAGAGCAGAACTGCCCCATAGGGTTTCCAAGGAGCGGCTGATGAATTTGAACTGCCATCCTTCTGGTTAGCAGCCATAGCTCTTAACCACTGCACCAACAGGGCTCCTTGCTACATTATAGGCACTGAATAAATACTTGTTAATTGAATAAATGGTTAGCCTGCTAACTCCTCAACTGGGCCACAAAATACAAGTACCCCCATGAACTTGGGTTCATCACTAATGCAAATTCAACTGAACTTTATGCCACAGATTGTAACAGCAAGAAAAGAAAACTTCTGGCAAGTCAGAGATGTTTGATCAAGATCCTATAGCAGCCACTATATATCACAATTCCGTAAGTTTTTAAAAAATTACATGTTGTGTACATATATCGCCAAGAAGCCAATTCAATAATTCATTGCCTTGTGTTCTTCAGGACATTTATATGTTTCCTGAGGAGTTGTTTTTATGAAATCTAATATAATCATCATAGAATAATACAAATGGGTCAGAGTAATATCAGTTCTATTTGAGTTATTCCTGAAATGCTACAGTTCAAATGGTAGCTCCTACAGAGTCTTAAACAACTGAAAATTTGTGAGGAAATGATGAAAGTTAACTTAGAAGAGACAAGTACTAAGAAATTCCTATTCTGACAGATCTTTATCCATTCTGTATCATTTTATAAAGGTAATCTAAGATTTACAAACAGTTCCATTTTCTAAAACTGGAAAGAAGTCAGAAGTCAGGAAATAAGTCCTCACAGATGCTCAGACAACCACGGGTTAAGAAAACATTAAGCAGGTATGACTTACATTTCTGCCAGAGAACTTTCCAGTATACTATTATAAAAGTACTTTTATACAATTTTCACGTTTGTTTTCCACATTGTCTTCAACACAGAGAAATCAGTCTTCTTCAAATTACAAGTATGAAGTAAAAGCATAAACGTTTTCAAGTAACTTAAATTTAATTTTCCATAGCAATTAAGCATAAATCTTCAGTATCAGTAAAAACATAGATATTTAATTGAACTCAACAATCACTTTAAATTCCCTTTAATGATTCTACTAATTACTACAGCTTATTTAACAAATTTCCTTATAAATCTGTTTACAATGTAGATGAAAAACTGCTGTATCCATGGTAAAATGTATTTCCTGCTTAGATAGATCAGACAAAGTAATCTGCTTCTGTGGCATAGAAACATTTTGAAGACATCTATAAATGGAATATCTAAAATCTGTATTGGCAGAGCTGGTTGGATTCAAGCTAACTAAAATTCCCATGACATAAAGTACAATAAAGATGTCACTTACTTTTTAATTTCTTCTTCTACTACATTCACTCCATCTTTTTGAGGATTAAGAAATTTGTTAGTGGCACTGCCAAAGTCACATAGTACATAGTTTCCACCATCATTCAACAAAATATTTTCTACCTTAAGAAAAAAAAAAAAAAGTAATTAGTAGTATTTTCAAAGTAAAAATTATCTTTTTAAAACTATACTTTTATACAATAAAGACGAAGGGCTTATGCCTCATGTATATATACATATACATATACATATATATATATATATGTATATATATATATATATAGATACATCTAAGATACCTCAAATGAAGAAGGACAAATGAACCACAACAAACACGTACTTTGCCATGTCTACTGTTTCTCCTACTAAGCACAAGGAAGCGCTTCTCCCACCCCATGATGGTTTGTGCAGGGGTTAAGAAACCCTAAATCCTCTTCAAAACTGCTTTTATGAAACAGGAGATCTAGCAGCAGGAGAGTCCAGCTTCTCTTTTACTCCACCTCCATTATTCTCCTTTTCTGACACTTTTGTTTATCTATAAAACCAAAAAACCAAACCCACTGCCATCCAGTCTATTCTGACTCACAACGACCCTGTACCGCAGGGTAAAAGTTGCAACTAGTGGATTCCAACTGCTGATCTTTTAGTTAGCAGCCAAGCTCTTAACCACTGCATCACCAAGTTTCCTCTGCTTATCTACAGACAAGTAATAATGAAAACCACTTAAATTCTGCATCTGATTGACTCCTAATGCTGTTTTTATCTAAAATACTACACTGAAGAACACAAATTTGACTTTATGTCCTAACTTGGAGACCAGAGTTTTAGTAACTAAAATAAACCACTTACATGTACAGTTTCTAGAAAATGAGAGTGGGTTCACAGTCCAGATCTGCTACTTCCTATCATGTGTTGCCTTTGACAATTTGCTTTAATTTTCTTATCCATAATATCTACTAAGTGGGATAGTTGTGAAAATTAAATTAGTTAAAACTTGCAAAGTGCTTTAGAAATATTTGAAGAAATCTATAAATGGAATATCTAAAATTTGCACTGGCAGAGCTTATTGAACTCATTCCCGTGAGACATAGTGCAATAAAGATGGGACCTACTTTTTAATTTCTTCTACTACATTCTACAACAGCGTCTACTATATGGAAAGAACTCAAATGATATTATTATCCTGTTATATGGCTTTCACACTATTTTATGATACATTCTTAGATGAGCAAATTCATTTTTTTTCCACTCTTTCAAATTACTCATGCTACCATTTCCTTACTGGTGTCTTTCAGGTGACTCAATATAATACAGAAAAAGTATTTGGAAGCAGACAGTTGTAAGCTAAGTAATACCTCCTTCTTAGTTTTCTCAGCTATAAAATGCAGAAAATGCATAACTATCTTGCTGAGTTGCTATGAAGATTAAAGATTAAACAGTGCTTGGTACATGGTAAACACTCAAAAATACTAATAACAGCTTTTTTAGTTCTCAAGTTAACATAAGTTAACAACTATTTTAAAACTACCTCTCTTATAATTTTTCTTCTATATTTCATTTTGTTGTTGTTGTTGCTGCTAGGTGCCAACAAGTCAATTTCAACTCATAGCAACCCCATATGGCAGACTGCCCCATAGGGTTTTCTTGGCTGTAATCTTTACAGAAGCAGATCACCAGGTCTTTCTCTTGCAAAGCTGCTGTGTGAGTTCGAACTGCTAAACTTTTGGTTAGCAGCCAAGCACTTAACCTTCTGCACCACCAGGGCTCCTTATATTTCATTTTAGTCTACTTTTAAAAAAGATTTAAACTCAGATGCATGCTTGCATAAATTGACACATCTAAAAAGAACTAAAAATATGAAATATGAACTATAAAAAATCATGCAGTTACAGTTTAATGTCTTCTGAATTTTAAATTAAGAAGACTCAGCTGAAAACATGAACTTAGTCACCTAAAGCACAATAAAATAAATAAATACCACTGAACTGTACACTTTCATAGGGTGAAGTATAGGGCATGTGAATTATATCTCAATAAAGCAAATAAGCATATAAAAAAATCAACTTAGTATGAGAAAAGTTAATGAGATATAACAGGAAACAAATCATACCAAACTATGAAGGAAAGGGTAAAAGTTGCATATTCAAAAGATGAGCTGAGATGAGCTATACTAGTGAGCCAAGTTAAGGTCTAGAGTCATGCATTTCAGTCCTGCCTTGGGCCTGCATTCTTTTACTATAAGGTTCCCTGGATGGTGCTTTCATAAGTTTTGTACAATCAGTCAGAATAGGGAATCAATCACTCAATAAATATTTGAGTCACTGTTGTCTGCCAGGCACTGTTCTGAATGCTTGGATACATCACTAAAAATGACAAAAATCTCTGCCCTTATGGAACTTACATTCTAGCAGGAGAAGACAGACAATAAACAATACATTAGGCATAATACACAAGTAAATTATACAGTATTTTAGAAGGTGGTAAGCGCTAATAAAAAGTAGAGCGGGTAGAGAGTATTACTGCCACGTTGTAATTATATATAGGGTGGTTCAGCATGGGACTCACTGACAAGATAAATCTAAGCAGACTTGAAGGAGGGGAAAGAATAGCCATCGAGATATCTGGGCATAAAGCATTTCAGGAGGGGGATTTTTTATAATCTTAGTGTTTGTGGGCATCAAAAAGGACATCTATAGCTCTAAATTATATCTCTGGCAATGTAATACCAGAAATGTTCAATACCCTTTTAGGACTTTTTCCAATGTAATAAATAGGTACCAAATACAAGGGGTCAGGAACTCACAAGAAGATAAGATAAAATGACCTTAAAGACAATCACCTCCAAATTACAGGTAAACAGACCCATTTGTAGGTCTCCTCCAATATCTCCTGAAAACACCTTGGTATGGATTACAGCAAATAGGAGGAATGTTGAACTGAAAGGGAAAAACGATGTGAAGGTCACTCAGCCTGTGTCAGTGATGTTCACACTTTGTTCAAAATCAAAGAACAAAGATTTCTCAAGCAAAGAAGCAAAGATTTCTTTGTTCAAATGAAACCTTTTAAAGAAGCCTACTATGTAAAACAGAGAACCAGAGTCGGAGGCACAAAAGCCACCCCTATGGCCATGCTAGAAATCTCAGGGTCATGGAAAGCACAATTGCAAATGCACAGTCGGTCTTCTTTACGTGACCTCAGGAAATGTAGCAAAGGATGGAGAAATTAATCTGGGTACAGGGAATAAAACCTGGTTTATATGACAATAGTCCAAGAACATCTTAACTCCAAAGTCTAAACCTTGTTACTTGATCTGTAAGTTTTCTGAAAGCATTACCTTCAGATCCCGGTGAATTATTGGAGTCTTACACTGATGCAGTCTTGCAACAGCTTCACAGGTATCACAGAATATCTGCAACACTTCTGGTTCCGTAAAACCTGTCTGCAGCTTCTTGTTCATCTGATTCACTACCTGACCAGCTAACCAAAAAATTAGTTTTGAGAAGACATGTTTTTAAAAATGAAGTCATCACAAAATAAGAAATGCCTTTATGGTCTCAGATAATGGAAAACTGGGTTTTTCATAATTCTCATACAAGGATGCTTATTATACCATATGTTATTGATTCAATGAGACTTTTTTTTCCACATTTTTACATCTCTGAGATGAGAACATCTTAAGATAATGTCCTGTTAATGCTATTGGGCATTTTTTAACATCTTAATGTCTCTGACATCAGGGTCTATCTTATAAACAATGGTGTCTTAGATTTGTTGAAACAGTTTTTAACACCGTGTTATTGTGTAAACAGTGGTGAACAAAAGTACGTTTTCTATTATCATGGAATTTACGTTCTAAAGGTAGACACAAACATTAAACAATCACATCAAAAAATACATAAGTCATAATTACACACAATAAGAATGTGAGAGACTTTAATATGGGAGCCCTAAATTTATACTGGAGCAGGAGAATGGGAGGGAGAAAAGGCCTATCTAAGGAAGTGGTATTAATGTTGAGACTAAAGGATAATTAGGAATTAACAAGGCAGAGATTTACGAGAAGCCCACTGCTATCAAGTCAATTTTGACTCATGGAGACCCCCTGTGTTTCAGCAGAACTGATTCACAGGGTTTTCCTGGCTATAATCTTAAGGGAAGCGGATCACTAGGTTTTTCTTCCAGGGCACCACTCGGTGAGAGTCCAAATCAGTGACCTTTAGGTTAGTAGTTGAGCACAAACCATTTGCACCACTTAGGAACCTAATTAGGAATTAATGAGGCAGAGATTTGGGAAAGGAGCAACATAAATAACATGTACAAAGACCACCAGTTGGGAAAGAGTTTGATGACTGAATAATTTCAAGAAAGCCGGTGCATGGTCTAGGAAACAGAGAAAAAAGGAATGCACAAAGGGACTGAAGAGGCAGACAGGGGTCAGTCATATTTTGGATTTTATCTTGAGAGACAAGGAAACCTCTTGCTATGTGGTGAAATGCTTTTGTGTGGCCTTTCTCACCATGGTCTTGTAATTCCCACCAAATGATTGGGTGGGACAATGCTAATAAGGTATATGGAACCCTACCGAGGGGATCTGTCAGCTTTGCCATCCCACTAGGCTTAAAAAGAGAGCCAATTCCACAGCAAAGAGAAGATCACACCATCACCAATGAAGAACAGCCAGGAGCAGAGAGCATGCCAGGAGACAGAGAGGGAGGAGTTAGAGCTGGACAAGCAGTGGCAGAGACATGATGGCAGGAGACAGCGTGGTGGGCTTCCTGGCCCACAGAGCGAGAACGCCAAGTGCCTTTGGGCAGGAGGTTTGCTGGTGGAGTAGGGGGCCTCTGGGCACTTATCAGCAGAGCTAAGAGAGCTTTGTAACACTTGCTCCAGAATGGCAGAGGCTGGGGGCCAGACAGGTATGCCTGTGAGCACAGCTGGGAAGAGGCTGTCCTGATGGAAGAACTGTATCCTGAGCATTCCCGAACCTGAACTGTAACCTCTTGCTTCCCTAACAAACCCCATAATCATGAGTATTGTCTGTGAGTTCTATGTGGCCACTGCAATGAATTATCAAACCCAGCAGAGAAGTAGAGAGTGCCATCAAAGGGACAGTTGGTGTCAGAATTGGTAAAGATGGCTGAGTGAGGAGGCATGTCTATCCTCTGCCTCGCAGGAATCAGCCTTGGGCTGTTGATCTTGATTCTCCTTCCCCCTTGTGAAGTTACAGGAGGTCAGACGCCGCTCCCATGCCATTTTTACACCTCTTGATCTTACTTTTTAAAATATCTCCCTAATTAGGAGACAAGAGGGGGTTACAAGAGTGGAAATGGAGAGACCAGTAAGAGGCTAATGGTCTAGGCAAAGTAAGAGATAATGGAACAGAGGAATTCACTAAATCCAAATAGACACACACATACCATTGAGTCCTAACGGGATTATTACATATTACAATATACTATAATGATTGACAGTCAAATAATGATAATTGTTAATTATCAAGAAAAAGTTAATCATCGTTATATTTTAAGAACATTCAAATAAAAATGAAGTTTGGGAGGGCAAAAAAACAAGACTATTAACTTGAAACTTTTCTTTAATAAGGCTGGATAAATGAATGGTTACTACTATGTAATCTGTAAGAAGGTGCGTGTACACCTGTTCCTTTTATTGTTGCTATCTAAACATCAAACTCTCGTGTTTTCTGAAGTATTGGTTTTTCATTTAGAATTTTAAAGCAGAAAGGACATTCAAATTTGCCTAATAAATCCCCAACCTCAGGTTCATTCAGTTGTAATTTGCTCAGGGTATCTAGAGGCTCCTTCCTCCATCCCCTTGTTTGTCAGAGTCTCTGAGTCTATCTATTCTTAAACTGGTTTTAACTAAAAATTAAACAGGATGAAAAGTACTTCCTCGGTGTTCATTCACGACCAGAAATACCATTTCACAGCTAAAGAAATCATAACTTCGAACTCATTCCAATTCTTCCAAATTTTCAATGTTGTAAACAGCAGAATAAATTTTAAACAAATGTTACTTCCATCCGGAGATCTCTGGGCCAGAAAACCTGAATCACAAAAGCCAAGTCTCCAGAGAAAGTTAAAAACTATATTTATTTTAATCACAATTCAAATGTAGAAGCATACAAAATTTCATTATTTAAAATCAGAGTTTTCTGAATAAGGCAAAATCAGCAGTACCAGCTTATCAAGCTCATTCTAAAGTAGCCAACCCACAGATATTACAACAATAAAAGTAACTGTAGTTTTAAGCTACTGAGTTTTAGGATTTTTTAAAAATTATTATTTAAAAGCTAACAGATATGAGTCCTGGGTTGCACAAATGGTTAAGTGTTTGGCTACTAACTGAAATGTTGGCGGTTTGAATCTACCCAAAAGGTGCCTCAGAAGAGAAAGCTAACAGATACATTACCCATGGGGACTTCTGTAAAATACCTCCTAAAAAAAATGGAAATTGCTTCTTTTCATAAAATAATAAAAATATACTCAAAATATCACAACCCTACTTTCTAGGAGTCTGATACCAAAAGCACATGATTTCTTTAATCTATATATCAGAATATTAACACATTAAGCACTGCCAAACCACAAACTTAAAAAGATCTAGCATTTGACAAAAGATGATTTTAAACGTTTGATATCTGAAACCATTTAAGTGGCATATCCGCTATATAACATAATGAGCCTGAACTATATACATTACATCAGTTCCCTTACAAAAGCGCCTTAATTCCTAAGCAATTTTATGTAATAAAATTAGCAATTATATACAGAAAGTAAGATGAAAAGATTCACTCTCCAATTACTCTGCCTCAGCCCCCCTCCCCCGCCCCTGCAAAAAATCATTCCTTCATGGGAGAAAAAGGAACTTATTAGTCAGAGAAAAAGTACTGAGCATGTGCCACTCAGGCCCTTGGGACTCCTTCTCTTAAGACAGAATGGCTCACTCAGAAGGTACCTTCTGATCTGTTAAACATACGCAAGTAACCTTAGCCGGCAATACATTTGAAGAAAGCTTCCGACATGAGAGAGAGCATAGAAACAAAAAGGAAAGAATTCAGAAAAAAACAAAAATGCAAGGAACAGAAAAAAATCTTTTTAAAAACTATAATATCCTCAGACAATAAAGATTTTCACATAAAACAAGATCATAGTGTATTTTTAAAAAGAAGAAGAACACTGAAAGAGCTAAAAACAGTTCTCAGAAATTAAAAACAAGATAGCAGAAATACAAATTTCCATAGAAGGACTGAAAGATAGAGTTAAACAAAAAGTAGAATAGAAAAGAGAAGGAAAATAACAGAGAAAATTAGAAGAATAATCTAGGAAGATTAACATCCTAAAAATAAAAAGTCCAGAAAGAGAGAACAGAAAAAATGGAAGAGAAAAAACTGAGTATCCAGTAAAAAAAGATTAAAAAAAAAAAAAAAAAGATCCACAACAAGGCACATTTATCTTGAAATTTCAGAATCTTAGGGATAAAAGAAAAACTCTAAAAGTATCCATGGAGGAAAGAGGTCACACACAAAGACTGAGGATCATTCATAATGGCATCAGATTTCTCAATAGCCAATTCTAGGAAAAAATGGAATTATGCCTTCAAAATTCAGGCTTAAAATTATTTCCAGCCTAGAATTCTTTAGCCAGCCAAAATAAACATCAAATGTGGGTATAGAATAAAGATGTAAATTTTTACATACACAAGGTTTCAAAGCTGCTTCCTCCCATAAATCCATTATCAGAAAGCTACTGAAAAATGTACTCTACCAACTGAGGCAGTAAAAACAAGCGGGAGGGAGGTATGAGTACCAGAGAATCTAAGAAGGAAGGCAAAGGGAATTCGCAGGATAACAGCTGTGCTGTTCAAATTTCAGTAGGAGAGCTGAAGTTTCCCCAAGGAAAAACTTAAGGGGGGAAAATGAAATTAATCAAATATTAAAATGTTTGAACATATTGCATAAGGATATGCAATTCTATTAGGGAATGTAGGACTAAAATAGTAATACATATGAAGAAAATCAGGCAAATAAAAAATGAGGCTATTAACTTCAGGGAAAACAAAAAGATGTACAAGAAAGAAAAAGCCATTATAGACTTCAGTATGATTCAGTTGTAATGGCAAACAAAATGATGTAAACACTGCTTATTGATTTAACCCAAAAACTGACAATATACTACACTAGAAGTAAAATCCTCATCTTTTTCTGGGGGCAATATCTAAAACATAAAATCAGAAAGAGCACTAGCAAACTTGCTTCAAGAGCCTCCTCATATCCAAAATCACATACTTTCCAATTTTCTAGGTTCCTTCTTTTTATATTCTATGATCTCAGTAAAACTACAGATCTCATCTATATACTGCTACACAGAAATACATAAGTAAATATGCGACAATACATCTCAACGATTTGAGAAGAGAGGGATGGGGGGTGGTTAGTACTAATTTAGCTGAAGCTTAATAGTAACTGGACTTTTTAAACCACATACATGAATTGTGGTTAGCTGCCTTTCAGTCAGCTCCAACTCATAGTGCCCTTATATGCAACAGAAAGAAACGTTGTCTAGTCCTACACCATCTTCACAATCATTGCTATGAATTACCTTAGTAAAAATTCAAATTTCATATAAAATAAAGCTTGCTGATTCTACTACCAGATAAAAATAATAGAAACAAAATGTCTTCTTTAAAATATAGCGCTTAAGCAATTCCACTTTAAAATAAAATTTGCCCCCCAAAATTGAAGCTAATTTGGCTCCCCTATTAAAATGTCTTCTGGGTGACAAACTCATCTAGTGTATAATTAGGTTTGATTCAATTATCTTTAAAAAATTACAAGTAGCTGAGAACTACTGGTCAACTCCAATACAGCTAAGAATTAACACCAAAAACGCTAGAATTCAGGAAAATGGGGTAGAGAAAAATCAGTGTCTTCTCCCAAAAGAGGTCACAATGGTTTACAGTAAAGAAGATACCTTTTATAAATAAGAGAAGACAATCAAGAACATCTATTTTTATATTATATGTGAAAATATGTTACAAGAACTTCACAACAGATACGTGAAGTACTGATTCACTTCATTTTCCTCTATTCTTCCCTCCTTACAAGACTGCAATAAATGAGACCGTGTTTTCTTCACCACCACATCACTCTCTTCCTCCAACCTTCAGGAAACTACAAGAGTTCCTGGAATGGAAATAACAATCACAACAGTCTAAAGAGAGTCTAAACAGAAACCAGGGTTCTCTAGACCCAAACTGCCAGATACAGCCTGATAAATAAAGCAGTTTTGTAGAAACCGGATTAACTGCCCCCTTTACACACATTAAAGGGAAAAAACTGTTAGATATTTATTATTATTGTTATTATTCTTAAGGCACACTACACAAGTAAATATTTCTTTAAAAATACCACATTAGGCCCAAATAAAATGTGGCTTTCTATCTTCTGATATTCACAATGGGATCCAAAAAAACTACATAATACAGGTTTATGAGGATTACAGATCAAAATGCATCCTCTAAAACTGTTAAATTTAATGATTTAAAGATAACATGGTAGAGAGCTGGTAAAATTCTTACAATACTAACATTGACACATTATGTTTTTCTTAGTTGGATCATAAAAAATTGTATAGGGAGCAGGAAGTATAACTGCTCTTTATCTACTTAGATACCCTCTTTTAAACCCAACAGTATTTTTCTAATTTTCCATATAAGATTAAATGCTCAAGTCATCACTGCAGCAACTATGACTAGGTTTTAAATATTTTTTTAACAGCCTTCCTTAATTAGGCAGATAATTAAAGCTGAGGTTGCAATAATAAGCATCTAAAATCAGGTGACAGCTGCCCTGGGAGAAACCAAGACACATATTAACCTATTTTAAAGGGAACTTTTTTTTTTTTTTTTTTTTAGTGTGATACAAATGCAGAGAGATACTTACTTACCTCGACAATATTCCATTAAGATAAGCACTTCCCATACATTATCACTAATTGAATTAACAGCACAGTCCAAATAACCCACGATATTTTTGTGACCAGACAGCTCTTTCTGTAAAACAGAAAGAAAATGAGGAAAATTGGAGGAAACACACACACACACACACACACACACACACACACACACACTTTAAAGCTATATCGTTAGCAATGGCTTGAAGCATAATGTATTTAAAGTATTTCAAAAAGTAGGAATTAGATATGCGTGTAAAACCTGACAGATTTCAATCAACCAAAGGCTCCTATAGTTTCAAATGAAAGCTTACTTGTATATGACTGTCTTTTTCTAACAAGCAAATTTTCAATAATCATATTTAAAATCAGCCAAGAAGAAAGAGACAGATCACCCTAAACTAATGGTCTCCAAAAGACAGTATGTAAGATAAAGATGGCTTATTTATATTTATTTTTAATCTAAGAAAATAAAGAAATTAAGCTCTAATACTTAGGAACAGTTGTATTCTCATTTATCTGTTTTGCACTCAACATATTATAATTTATGTCTACTTAGTTAAGTGGATTTATGGGTTTATATACTACTAATTAGATAAGCTTTAAAATGAACAAGGGCTACAAAGACGCATAGATTAAAAATACTACTAATAATACAAGTGCAAGGAAATAATAGAAAAATGGCAGCTGTGACACTTTTACTCCTAGTATAAAATAGCTATCAGCTTATAATAAGGTTAAAAACAATAATGACCTAAACAATTCTATCTGGAAATTAAAAAACAATTATCAAAATATTATTTTAAATAAATTTACATCCATATCATTAATAATAAACCTAGTTTTAACTGTGCAATATAATTTGAGATATTGGCTAATGGCAGCTAAACGTGAATAAATTATAAATAAATTACAGGTGATCAAAAGAGTTGGCAGACTGCTGCACAGGATTTGAATGGTTCTGCTGCTGCTAACTATAGTTTATATGTCTCAAAATTATACATATAAATTCTTTGAAAGGAAGCATTATGTCACAGTAGTACAAGATCTGGGCACAAGTAAGGGAACTTAGTCTCGGCTTTGCCATTATCTTGGGGTAAATCCTTTAACCCTTTTGGCAAAGACTTACTTTAAAAAAGTAAATCTCAAAGTCTAATCAATTGAAGCCTAGCTAAGAGAATTAAGAAAAATCAGATTCTATAAATGAGTCTACTTTGAACAAAAGTGATTGCAATATGTGTTGGCGAAGATGTCAACACAAAATAAGAAATCCCTCCCTCGTAATAGTCAGATAGTTAGGGCTGACATGAGATTCAAATGGTGAGTGAATTAACACTGCTGCTGAGTACCCACTACGATCCTAGCACCATATAAATTGATGTGTTATTTATCAATTCATTTAATTTCAATGCTACCATGCAAAGTAATAATAAATGCTAATTTTCCTGATAGTCTAATATTATTCTACTCTATTTTTACAAATACCTACACTCGAAAATGTTTGAAGCTGAAAACTATAACATATAGATTCCTTTAATGTATGATTTCCCTACTTTTTTTAATTTCAGAGTTATAGTCAACATTGACATTCAAATTACTCCTCCCGCTGCCTTCCTGATACCCCAAGTAAAACAAAGTACAGTTAAAATACAGTAACTTAACAAGTTTCTTTCCAATTCTGTCCAACCTACAAAATCAATATTTAGACTAGTAAATGGTCCTCAATTTCAGACAGAATCTCATTTTTAGAAAAAGGTATCATTTCACAGAGACTTCTGCAGATGTAATTACAAAGCCTATTAAATGACAATATTCTATCTTTATCTAATCTCAACAACATTATCAGTCTTCATCTGACATATCATTAGAAGGTGTCAGTGTTTTCCAAAGTTTTTACTATTATATATATTAATGAACTTATTACGGAGTCCCTAGGTGGTGCAAACTGTTAACATACTAAGCTGCTAACCAAAAGGTTGGAGGGTGAGTCCACCCAGGTGCCTCAGAAGAAAGGCCTGGTGATATACTCATGGAAAACATCAGCCACTGAAACTCTATGCAGCACCATTCTACTCTGACACACACGAAGTCCTCACAAGTCAAAATCGACTCGGCTACTGGTGTATATATATCATGAATATTTACTACAACATAAACAAATAATACACTCAGTTGCTATTTACTGAGTTCTTACTATTTATCTAGCACTGTATTAAACAAGTTAGCGCTGCCACATTTATGTTAAGATTACATTTATTGTTTTAATAAATACTACTTTCCCACCTACCAAGGTAATCTCCTGAACATAAGGCCCTGGTAATTCTGAATAGGAAATATCATTTTAGTGTTTCAGAAATTCTGAAGTCATTGATAATAAATAGTATCTATTTTTTTTTGTTCTATGTATGCAGACGATGAGGAGGAAAACAGGAGTAAGTACACTTGAAAAAATTTTTTAGATCAAAGTTGGTTTAGAACATTGTACCAGTTTAAAAGAAAAGAAAGAAGAAAAAGGAGCCATTCAGAAAACTGCAAGTAAGCAACACTAAAAAAGGAAGAAAATGTAATTTTGTAAATTTTTAACTGTTTCAAGTCAAATGAGTGGCTAAAATTTTGTTTAATGGTCTATTATTTTTTATTTTTCCTAATATTTAAAAAAAAAAAAATTCCCTTGCTGAAAATTAGAGTACACAAGAAAAACAATCAGATTTACAGCATGATTTTAAAAATGAAAAGCAAAACTAATTGTTGTTTGTGAATACTAACACATGCAGTGAGTGCATAAAACCTGCACGGGAATGGTAGGAAGTAGCAAATTCAGGACAGTGGTTTCTTTTCAGATAAGGAGGACAGTACAGGCTATAGTTAGAGAGGAATACACAGGAGCCTCAACTGTCTCTGTAAGGTTTTACTTCTTAAGTTTGATGGCAAAGATGTTCATTATATAATTCTTTAAATTTTGTATACTTAAAATATTCCAAAATTAAAACAGATTTTAAAAAAAGAAAAAGAAAACAGAATACCATACCTGTTGAACTACGGCAGGGAAGGGAGGAAAAAGGAGAGAAGGAGGATATATTTAGCCCTATGGTTAAAAGGGATATACTATAAATTCTCATATAATTTTCCAAATTAATTTAATTATCTTCAAAGGTTTTCCAGATATACATAAATAAACAGCTTGCCTAAAATCTGTTTATATTATAGTGCAAAACAAAATATACCAAATTTCTAAAATGGAATTTCTCTTTTGCTTACCATAATTGTAATTTCTCTTTTACAAATGTTGAGGTCTGACATGTTATTGACATACATTCGTTTCAACGCACATCGGATGCCACCATGAGTCCGCACTAGGAAAACCGTGGAGAATCCACCTAAGAGAACAAGTACCAATTAATTACAAAGAATCAGAAATTACTGCCCAAATCATGTAATATCAGTGAGGAGGTAGGTCTTAGAGAAAAAAAAGAACCTGTTGCCGTCGAGTTGATTTCGACTCATACTGACCCCATAGGACAGAGTAGAACTGCCCCATAGGGTTTCCAAGCAGGGGGTGGTAGATTCGAGCTGCCCAACTTTTTGTTAGCAGCCAACCTTTTTACTACTGTGCCACCAGGGCTCCTTAGAGGAAAATAACCAATGACTGAAACCAAGACAAAAGCACAGTAAGATTAAAAGCTAAAGCACTGGGTTCTTATACCAATCATGAAGTAACACTTAGAGGATAACGTGCTTCTCAAATGATAACTCTTTTACAGCTTAAAATACTAAGATTTCACTTTTTACAAGGAATAACTATGCAGTACATGGAAACTGTCACAACACAACTCTACATTACTATAGTCTGGCACATACTAGTGACTGCCTACCCATCAGTCTCCCCTCTTTCTGTAATGACAAAGTACTGCTGTTATTTGATATGAGAAATCAAAGGGATCAGATGGGTGGTTCCTTCCTCCAGGTCTAGGGGATGAACTCCAATTGTTCTAAGCCAATCATGGGAATCTCATTTCTCCTTATCAGTAGCAACTGACTTAGTGGCTCAAACAGTTAAGTGCTTTGCTGCTAACTAAAAGGATGGTGGTTCTAGTCCACCCATATTTACCTTGGAGAAATGGCCTGGCAATCTACTTCCAAAAAATCAGTCACTGATAACCCTATAGAGCACAGTTCTAGTCTAACACACATGGGCTCACCATGAGTCAGAATCAACTCAATGGCAACAGGTTTCTTTGTGTTTTACACACACACACTGGCTAATGGGACATAAGGGCAAGTCTGCTGGGTACTGCAGGGAAAGACTTTTACAGCCAGCAAAGAGAGAAAGTGGTATGTGGAGAAGGCCTTGCTCTTTCTTCCTGTTTTTGAATCTTGTTGTGTAACGATACGATGCTTAGACCTATGGCAGCCATCCTACGGCCATGATGAAAAAATGAATCAGCGAGAAAATGACCCAAAACACTGGCATAGTTGCACTGCTGAATTAGCCAACTCTAGAACCACCTCCCTCCAGATAATAAATGTTCTCAATATTTAAGCCATATAGTTATTTGGACATTCTGTTCTAAAACATCTTATCTAAAACCTTTAACTAGGTATTCTTTAAAAAAAAAAATTACTTCTGTCACATATACTACATAAAGTTTTAAAAACTCATCTTGGCATAGGGCATTCTGTGGCTTAATCATAATTTAAAACAAACAAGAAAAAATGGTATGTTACTTTATGAATTTGATAGCCCTTAAGAAGTAACATCCTGAGCAATAAGGCACCTGCACTCCAATTCAATGCAAAACAGTCAAAGGAAAAGTAAACTACTGAACATAAATAGGGGAAAAGAGCTCCGAGGATACTCCAGAATCAGCACAGATTCATTCTAGATTCTCCACATCTTCCAATTGCAATTATAAGAAAACCAATGCATAGGGTATTATAAACAATTCCACCCCAACGTGTCTGTCAGTTTTGTTGTAACCTGGGGGCTTGCATGCTGCTGTGATGCTGGAAGCTATGCCACTAGTATTCAAATACCAGCAGGGTCACCCATGGCATACAGGTTTCAGCTCAGCTTCCAGACTAAGACGGACTAGGAAGAAGGACCTGGCGGTCTACTTCTGAAAAGAACTAGCCAGTGAAAACCTTATGAATAGTAGGGAACTTTTTCTGATATAGTGCCAGAAGATGGGTCCCTCACATTGGAAGGCTCTCAAAATATGACTGGGAAAGAGCTGCCACCTCAAAGTAGAGTCGACCTTAAAGACATGGATGGAGTCAAGCTTTCAGGACCTGCATATGCTGGTGTGGCACAACTCAAAAATGAGAAGAAACAGCTGCAAACATCCATTCAAAATTGGAACCTAGAATGTACAAAGTATGAATCTAGGAAAATTGGAAATCGTCAAAAATGAAATGGAATGCATAAAGATAGATATCCTAGGCATTAGTGAGCTGAAATGGACTGACACTGTTCCTTTTGAATTGGACAATCATATGGTCTACTATGCCGGGAATGACAACTTGAAGAGGAATGGCATTGCATTCATCAAAAAGAACATTTCAAGATCGATCCTGAAGTACAACAATGTCAGTGATAGGATGATATCCATACGCCTACAAGGAAGACCAGTTAATATGACTATTATTCAAATATATGCAGCAACCACTAAGGCCAAAGATGAAGAAACTGAAGATTTTTACCAACTTCTGCAGTCTGAAATTGATCAAACATGAAATCAGGATGCACTGATAATTAACTCGTGATTGGAATGTGAAAGCTGGAAACGAAGAAGGATCAGTAGTTGGAAAATATGGCCTAGGTTACAGAAACGATGCCAGAGATCATATGACTGAATTTTGCAAGACCAAAGACTGCTTCATTGCAAATACCTTTAGTCACCAACATAAACGGCAACAATACACATGGACCTCGCCAGATGGAATACATAGGAATCAAATCGACTACATCTGTGGAAAGAGACGATGGAAAAACTCAGTACCATCAGTCAGAACAAGGTCAGGGGCCGATCACGGGTCAGATCATCAATTACTCACATGCAAGTTGAAGTTGAAGCTGAAGAAAATTAGGACAAGTCCACAAGAGCCAAAGTACAACCTTGAGTATATCCCACCTGAATTTAGAGACCATCTAAAGAATAGATTTGACGCGTTGAACACTAATGACCGAAGATCAGACGAGTTGTGGAATGACATCAAGGACGTCATACATGAAGAAAGTAAGAGGTCATTAAACAGACAGGAGAGAAAGAAAGGACCTAAATGGATGTCAGAAGACACTCTGAAACTTGCTCTTGAACATCGAGTAGCTAAAGCAAAAGGAAAAAATGATGAAAGAACTGAACAGAAGATTTCAAAGGGTGGCTTGAGAAGACAAAGTAAAGTATTATGATGACATGTGCAAAGACCTGAACATAAAAAACCAAAAGGGAAGAACACACTCGGCATTTCTCAAGCTGGAAGAACTGAAGAAAAAAAAATCAAGCCTCGAGTTGCAATACTGAAGGATGCTATGGGGAAAATATTAAATGACGCAGGAAGCATCAAAAGAAGATGGAAGGAATACACAGAGTCACTACACCAAAAAAAAATTGGTCAATGTTCAACCATTTCAGGAGGTAAGATATAATCAGGAACCAATGGTACTGAAGGAAGAAGTCCAAGCTGCACTGAAGTGTGTCATGGATTGAATTGTGTACCCCCAAAACTGTGTGTAGCACCTTGGCTAGGTCATGATTCCCAGTATTTTATGATTGTGTTATCTGATGTGATTTCCTTATGTGTTGTAAACTCTACCACTATGATAAGATTATATGTGATCTCCTCATGTGTTATAAATTCTATCACTGTGATGAGGTTATACTGATGAGGTTGTGAAGATTAGTGTCTTAATGCAATCTCTTTTGAGATATAATAGAGAGAAGTGAGCAGAGACACATGGGAACCTTATACCACCAAGAAAGCAGTGCTGGGAGCAGAGTGCGTCCTTTGGACCTGAGGTTCCTGCGTAGCGAAGCTCCCAGACCACAGGAAGACTGATGACATGGACTTTTCCTCCAGAGCCGATGGAGAAAGCAGTCCCCTGGAGCTGATGCCCTGAATTTGGACTTCTAGCCTACTGGACTGTGAGAGAATAAGTTTCTCTTTGTAAAGCCATCCACTTGTGGTATTTCTGTTGGAGCAGCACTAGATGACTGAGACAAAGGCACTGGTGAAAACCAAGGCTCCAGGAACTGACGGAATACCAATTGAGATGTTTCAACAAATGGATGCAGTGCTGGAAGTGCTTACTCATCTATGCCAAGAAATTTGGAAGATAGCTACCTGGCCAACCAACTGGAAGAGATCCATATTTATGTCTATTTCCAAGAAAGGTGATCCAACCAAATGCAGAAATTATCGAACAGTATCATTAACATCACATGCAAGCAAAATTTTGCTGAAGATCATTCAAAAGTGGCTGCAGCAGTGTATCAACAAGGAACTGCCAGAAATTCAAGCCAGATTTAGAAAAGGACATGGAACCAAGGATATCACTGCTGATGTTAGATGGATTCTGGCTGAAAGCAGAGAATACCAGAAAGATGTTTACCTGTGTTTTATTGACTATGCTAAGGCATTCGACTGTGTGGATCATAACAAATTATGGATAATATTGCGGAGAATGGGAACTCTCGAACACTTAAATTGTGCTCGTGAGGAATACGTACATCGATCAACGGGCAGCTGTTCAAACAGAACAAGGGGATATTGCATGGTTTAAAGTCAGAAAAGGTGTGTCAGGGTTGTATCCTCTCACCATTCCTATTCAATCTGTATGCTGAGCAAACAATCCGATAAACTGGACTATATGAAGAACAATGCAGCATCAGGATTGGAGGAAGACTCATTAACAACCTGTGTTATGCAGATGACACAACCTTGCTTGCTGAAAGTGAAGAGGACTTGAAGCACTTACTGATGAAGATCAAAGATCACAGCCTTCAGCATGGAGTACACCTCAACATAAAGAAAACAAAAATCCTCACAACTGGACGAGTGAGCTACATCGTGATAAACGGAGAAAAGACTGAAGTTGTCAAGGATTTCATTTTACTTCGATGCACAATCAATGCCCATGGAAGCAGCAGTGAGGAAATCAAATGATGTAGCTTTATTGCATTGGGCTAATCTGCCACAAAAGACCTTTTTCAAGTGTTAAAAAGCAAAGTTGTCACTTGGAGGACTAAGGTGGGCCTGACCCAAGCCATGATATTTTCATTCGCCTCATATGCATGCTAAAGCTGGACAATGAATAAGGAAAACCAAAGAAGAACTGATGCCTTTGAATGGTGGTGTTGGCAAGGAATATTGAACGTAC